ACTGTTCTTGAATTTCCTCATCGTGTTGTATTATTGGGGCGACGGTGTCAGTTACCACTTGGTTTTCTTGTGGTTCGATGGGAACAGGTAGCGCTTCGTAGCGTAGTCGATCAAGAAGAGACTGGTCCAACAGCCTAAGCCGCTGGATAGCCCTCACCTGATCTGACAGTCGTTGTGTCGAAACATTCACGGTCGGGCACAATGTCTGAAACACAGAAAACATTTTTGAGCGATACGCAGAAAGGTTGGTTTCTCCCTCCGTAGCCTCATAGTACGCTCGCATGACATTCATATTTATATTTTCGTTCCAACGCATGCGAGAGCGCACTACACCACTGGTAGCGGGGACCGTAGACGGGGCATTTCGCCTCGTTGATCCCAAGCGTGCCAATGGTGGGCGGCCCCGGCGCACAGGTCTTGGCGGCGCAGGGGACGGCTGTGTTTCGTCGCTGGATAAACTTTCAATTCTCGTCGGACTTGGAGAGCCATCCGACGAACACGACGGAATACATGGTGATGTTCTTTGTGCGCCACAGGTCACCTGTCTACACTGTCGACTTGGGTTTTTCCTTAATGCAGTTGCCGTCGACATGGACGTGTCACATTGCAGTTTTCTTTAAATTCTTTATTTTCATTTTTGCATCCAACTTTACACTTTCTCTTTTTGTTTTTATCATTTTTAAAATTTAATTATTTGTATTTTTTCTGTAAATATTTGTAAAAATTTAGGTAAAATTAAATAAATTTTAATTTTGCAATTTTTGACACGTCTGTTGTTATTATTATTATTATTAATTATTTGTAGAATTTATACTTTAATAGGAAGTAAGTATATTGTTATGTGCAAAGATGATGTGATTTAGATGTGTGAAATCTAAGACAGGTCGTGCTTCAAATTTGCCAAGTAAGCGATATGACGATTTTTAAAAGTTGCTACACTGATTTTTTACATATGGCGTACCTACTATCTCTACTACTACTACTTGCTACCTCACTCTCAGTTGAGAGTAATTCAAATTTTAGACTTATCAAGGGACCGCGTGATAAAAAAAAACACCTTGTCAGACATTTATTGCATGTTACAAACGTCTTTCCTTGCGACTTCCTCTCTAAAATCACTTAATTATTACAAATTTAACGAATTTACAATAGTTTTTTACTCGCTACGAAACAAAACTATTTTATTTAAATAGTTCCGCAGAGAGATTTTGTCGGTAACCTTTTTCCCGAAATATCTAAGCAGAATGTCTAAATATGTTTTGATGATACATTTTAATAAGAGGTATTTATGATTAGTGTCATGACCAATAGATATCTTTATTTTTATCGCTCAGATTAATTGATGATCAATTATCAATTATCGTTTGTTCGACGACTATTGGTGATTGTTCGATCATAAAAACAATTAAATTCCCAATTATTAAATATTTTATATCTAATAAGCAAACTATCACCTCACGCCACCTTTTTTATTTTCGGGTTATTTTTATTTTTAATCATTTGTTCGTCATTTGCTCGTTAATGTTCGAGTCTAAATTGTTTGTTCGTCTTTTATTTATTTATAATTAATTAAACAAATGATCACCCTTAAGTTGTCCCTCCTTACTAGATATCTTTATTTTTATCGCTTAGATTAATTAATTTTGATCAATTATCGTTTGACGACTATTGGTGATTGATCGATCTTAAAAACAATTAAATGAAAAAAACGAAGCCTTGTAATGTATATCAATCAAGATGCTTCTCGATAATAATAATTAAGTCAATATAGACATAAATAAATATTTTTTTTAAATAAAATCTTGTTTATAGAGTATATATATATACCAAGTTTATTCTTTCATATTAAATGAATTTCTACTAAATGTCCCTGCAATATATTTCTTTAACTTATAAATAAGTATCATTTCAACAAAAACAGATTTTGTGTGCATTACATTAACATTTTTTGAACTACGTAATGAATTTAGTAATTATTATTTTATTATAAAATACAAGATCATAACTATCTCCTATTGCATGGTAATGAATAGTATCATTTTAACACGAAAGTTGTACTCCTAAAATATTCTTAAAATAATTAGAAATCACTGAAACTTCTATGTGCTTGTTAATATTCAATATCATTAAAAATAACTGAATTTATTAAAACCGCGCTAATCGTACTTTAAGGATAATTGGCCGTCTTCACTGACATTTTTTTGTTGAAGTATTGTTGAAGCTTACAATATTATTTTTGATCCTACATAAGAAATAATAGACATTATAAATCGCACACTTGTTAGCAAAACGCTAGTAAATACGGCCATTGCCAGCTGACTGACAAAACCAGCGCATGCGCAATGTAGGCGTGAGGTGATGGTTTGCATAATAGATATAAAATAATTAAAAATTGGGAATTTAATTGTTTTTATGATCGAACAATCACTAACAGTCATCGAACAAACGATAATTGATCAAAATTAATTAATCTGAGCGATAAAATTAAATATATCTAGTAAAAGGGGTCAACTTAATTGTGATTATTTGTTTAATTAATTATAAATAAATAAAAGACGAACAAACAACTTTTACTTTTGAAAATTAACGAACAAACGACGAACAAATAATTAAAAATAAATAAAATCTGAAAAAAAAAGGGGGCCAAATTCAGTAAGCCCACTCTCTATAACAGGTGACTGAAGTTAGCCCCTCAAAAATTTTTTTTTCATATTTTCTACTTATTTTCTATTAATTCGTTTGTTCATCATTTGTTCATGATTGTTCACTGTTAATAATTGTTTGTTCTGCATTTATTTATTTAAAAAATAATATTTAAAAATATACCTACAAGTTAGCCCCTCTAATGCAATTTTTAATATTTTTTCATCCTTAATGACTCGTAAATATTCATTTTCGATTGTTCTTATATAAAACACGTTTGTTCTCTTTCGAAATTACTCATTTTTTGTTTAATTAACTATTTGTATTAGTTGAATAATTATGTATGCAAAATATGTGTACTGCGCATGCGTCAACTATAATGCCTAAACTTTCTACGCGGTTTTAATCGTGAAAAAAAAAACAAATATAAATCCTGAAGGACAATTAATTGGTATACAGTTTAATTAAAAAAATTAAAAAATAAATAAATGAAATAATGTGCAAACCAAACTGTTTACCATCCACATTTGATTGTCGGGCAGATAGAAAACGAAAATTCACTCAAAGTGAACCTCGGCCTGCATTTGTGAAACCGCAAAGACTCACTAATACTCACTATTATCAAGAAGATTGAAGAGATAAAATGAATGTGTCATATAACCTTTTGCCATACCTTGTAGTCAAGGTAACTGTAATAATTAGTTACACTCACAGATCTCATAATCAAATAACAATATCAGAAAAAAGGAGAATAGTTTGTTAGTTAGTGGAAGTAGCCAGAATGGGCAAGTGGACCTCAGTTCCTATTATATAAGGTCCTAGGAAGTTTGCGATAGTGAAAATTTATCACAGTGTAATATCACTTACTTACTTTAACAGTGAAGGAAAACATTGTGATGAAACCTGCACACCTAAATGTTATTAGGATTTTCTTAGGTGTGTAATCCACCAACCAGCACTAGGCCAGCGTGGTGGACTAAGGCCTAAAAACCCTCTCAATGGTAGTGGAGGCCAGTGTCCAGCAAGGGGAGATTTATATGGGCTGATGATGATGACTAGGAAGTTACATATACTACTACTACTACGACAGTACACATATAATCCTATATATTTACAAACTATACGTTTGTTGGAAATTGATAACATTATTTCATATTTCCAGATGTCCAGCCACTTGAAAATAGGTGTAGTAATGACAAAGCTATCCAAGTAGCTCCAGCACAGGAACACAAAGGCAAGGCAAGTGTGTATTGCCACATCACCCCTTAATATATCTGAAGCAAGTACAAGTAAACAATCAGAACCAGCAAAAAGAAAACTGTTGTTCCTGAGGACAAATTTGACAGTGATCAGTCAAATGCAGAAGGATCAGCTGTTGAGAGTTATCTCTCTCTATATCCACTCCATCAAAGACTTGTGCACTTCATTTATTGAAATTAATATTAATGAATATTAATTTAAATTATCGTGCGAATTTTGTGGTCAAAACATTTAAGTGTATTTTATAAATAAATATTCATTCTCAGTATTAATGTTGTTTTAATCTTCGATTGAAAAATTGGTTCTTAATGAATTTAGTTGGAGCTAAATGCTGCTTGGAGCTTAATATTTTCGAATAACATAAACACGTGACTTTAAGCATAAACATATTTTTTGGTTAGGATAATTAAACAGTATAGCAACCCTAACGCCTGCCGCGTCGGCAGCCGTTGATCGGCGCCGCGAACAATCAGGGCTCGTTGTCGGGCTAACTTGTAGGTATATTTTTAAATATTATTTTTAAATAAATAAATGCAGAACAAACAATTATTAACAGTGAACAATCATGAACAAATGATGAACAAACGAATTAATAGAAAATAAGTAGAAAATATGAAAAAAAAAATTTTTGAGGGGCTAACACTGAAGTAATAGGTCTATGGGGGCTAACTTCATTCACCTCTCGATTACACACGGTGCTGTCGCCATAGAGTATAATGTACAGATTACAAAAATAGGGTATAGCAACAGGTATGTATACGAGTATATGGAGACGTGAACAAGTTTGAATAATTGTCATGAACCTAGTAACACTTTACTATACTATAGTATAGAGTTTATATATATCTACGTACCTATCTACCACTGAGATTTGAGAATTGTAATAAATAGTACCTACCTGCTACTAAATTACTATTGCATAGATTTCTTTGTTTACGTGTCGATCCTTGCGAACGAAATACATGCCTACGAAAATAAATATATCTATCAAAGTCGTTTATGGAATTGTATCAAAGCTGCATTGTAAAACTGCTGCCGTGGACTAATTGTTAAAATGAATAACGGTGATATTAGTGCTCCAAAAGGACGAGGCCGGGGGTGGCAAATGAACAACCAGGCACGCGAGCTCCGGCGGCCTAAGGCAGTTTCAGACGAACCAAAGGGTATGCATTGTTCACATTACGAATACAGTAGACTTTCTCAATCCAATAATCCAATTCCGGCAACTTGTGACGTCGCACACTGGCCCGCACGTATTGCGTTCTTCATAATTATAATACCTACTTCAGGTGAAAGTTAGATTTTCATTTTTAAATCGTCGTTTAATCCAGGCAAACGAATTTTTATATCGAGACATAACCATCGTACATTAGTTCGATTTATTATGTGCTGGTTATAATTTTCGTAATAGTAAATTACGAAATTGGTATGGCTAATCCAGGGTTTTTTTTTTATTTCATATAAATAATTCACTGACCTTTTGTTTTTCAGTGGATACTTCTAAATCGAAGTTATCAGCAGATGCTAAAGAATGGTACCCTGCAAATTACACTTCTCAAGCGCTACCCGCTTACAATACTGAACCTGCCCCATATAGACCATCTCGCCCCTCTGTACAAGGTAGACTTCGTCAAGCTCAAGATCAAAATCCATACAATTTGGATGACATGTCTTATTCACTTGAAGAAGCTGAAAACATGGATCTACGGGTTAGTTTATTAAACAAACTAATCTTATATTTTCCTTAAAATATAAACTGCAAAGAATATCGGTTCAATACTTAATGTCAATGACTAAAATACATATTTCAAAGACAAGTTCTTGTTATATCTTACATGATAACAGTCCTCACTTTTCTCCAAGACATAACACACAATATCTTCATAGATCTCTTGATCTCCTGCTCATATCAAATGACTATTATAGTATTCTCATTATATGTTCCTACTGAATTATTTTTATAATGACTAATTTTGTAAATTAAAAGTTTTTAAATTAATTTGCTATATCAAGCAGTAGCTGTTCCTATAGAGGTGGGTCACACCTGTTTGTCTATGGGCCCTATGTATCATATAACTAACTGAAACACTATTTTTGAGCAGTCTAAACTTAAATAAAATTATTTTCATAAAGCATTGCTCACTATCACCAGTACTACTAAAATTTCTGCTTTGGAAATTAAGTCTTCGCTTGCAGCTTCACATTCAGATTACTGGTTATTTACAAAAACCAATTAATAACTATGACTAATCACTTTAAATTGCTATAACATTACTTTTCGAGTCCATCAAGTCCTGTAAACATGCTTAAATCATTAAGAAGAAAAAAACTGTTCAGTATTTTTTTTTTGTGTATACAAAAGGAATTATTAAGTGCAGTTATGTCTGTGCTAAATAAATAAATAAATGCAACTACTACTTTTAGTAGTGGGAAGTAGCCTGGCTGTGCACCTGGAATTGATTATGTCATGAATCAGGTGGACAGTTTGCTTGTGTGCCTACAATGGCTATAAAAAAAAACAAATTACATTAACTATGCTACAGTACAAAATGATTATGTATATTTATATCAGTAAACATATTATAAAATATTATAAATTATATAAAACACAATTTATTATTTATATTTTATTTCATATTATAGATTAAAAAGAAACCTAATCTATATATATAAAAATGAATTGCTGTTCGTTAATCTCGCTAAAACTCTAGAATGGCTGGACCGTTTTGGCTAATTTTGGTCTTGAATTATTTCTGGAAGTCCAGAGAAGGTTTAAAAGGTAGATAAATATGAAAATGTAGCGGAATTATATAAAAATATATTTTTTATTTTTTCTTTGACCGATTCCTTTTGTTTAAGTTTATTTTATACAAAAGCTTAGGTCTTTTATTTATCGATTGAGGCACTACGAAGTCTTACTGGTGGTAGGACCTCTTGTGAGTCCGCGCGGGTGGGTACCACCACCCTGCCTATTTCTGCCGTGAAGCAGTAATGCGTTTCGGTTTGAAAGGTGGGGCAACCGTTGTAACTATACTTGAGACCCATAGAACTTATATCTCAAGGCGGGTGGCGCATTTACGTTGTGCATGTTTATGGGCTCCAGTAACCGCTTAACACCAGGTGAGCTGTGAGCTCGTCCATCCATCTAAGCAATAAAAAAAAGTCTGCACAACACAGGACTGTAGCAAAAATACCCAGGATAGTGTTGCCTTTCTATGCAACTTCACACTACACCTTACCATTAGGAAAGCTAGAATTCACTGGTACAATTCTGTTTAATAATATTAAAATTAAATAAAAATGTTTAATTTGCTCTTTTTTTGCAGGAGAACATAGCAAACTTGATAACTGTTATGTGTGAGATAACCTTTGACCCGGGCAAGTTTGACACCTTGTGTGGTCCCTTGGTGGATTCATTTGCTTCAACACTTAATGATGAAAGCTATACCAGACCCTTGGTGGATGCCATTGTTAATCAGGTAACCATAAATATACACTAAACTTATACATGACTATCCATACTTTTTTTTTCTTTCATTTTTTAACTTTCATGCTGTAAACTGTAATAATACAGTCAATTGTGTATTGACAGTCAATCGGCGAAGCAAATTTCCGGTACAATGGAGCTCGTTTGTGTTCAATGTACGATTCAGTGGCGCAACCCGAGGAGTCTGTATTCCGCGAGTGCCTGCTCGAGCGCTGTTCCGTTGAGGAAAACAAGATTATCAGCGGCTTGGAAACTTCAGAGGAGAATATGCGTGGATTTGCTATGTTCCTTGCCGAGATTTATACTCAGCTTGAGGATAGTCAAGTAAACATCAATATTTACATATTACTTTCTTCACTATATTTTTTCATAAATATTAATTTTTTTTTCGACTTATCTCATATTAGTTTGTGGTAATTCACTTTGATCTGCGCTACTTTCAGGGAGGAAGAATAAAGACTCTCGGTGAAAGTCTCTGCAAAGTTTTTCTGCATCTATTGGACACTGATAAGGAGTCAAACATCAAAGCTGTTTGTCAACTGCTCAAGGTAACCTGCATTTCGAAATCGCTTTTTATATTTGAGTTTAAACAGCATTATTGTTTTTGATGTGTCTAAAAGTAGTTTATCTGATGACTTTATTTCATACACAGATTATGTCAATAATATTTTAAATTTATTTATTTACTTACTTTATTTCATACACAGATTATGTCAATAATATTTTAAATTTATTTATTTACTTAATAGTATCAACAATATGAGAGCACCAATTCAGAACATTAAAATGCATGATAAACGTCCTCTCAATTAAAGGTGCCAACAAAAACACAAATAAAATAACAAAACAAAATAATGACAAAATCAAATTATAAATTATAATTCTGATGAAAAGCATGTTTTTGGGAACTTAGCTATAATTCTCTAAAATTCGTTACTATTTAGTTTGATGTAAAATATATTTACAATTATAGAGGAATGCAAAAAAAGTATCAATAAAATTTCATTGTTTTGTGACAATTAAGTTCATTAAAATAGACTTCGCAATTTTTTGCTAAATGCAAAAGCGAATCATTAATTTTAAACAAGTTAAGAGTATATGAAAAAATAATAATACAGAAAATTATCAATTTTATCTTAATATTTTACATACTAAAGGTTGCATAATGTTGCATATATTTTAGCTCTTCGTTCTTCCAATCTATTTTGCATACCCATAATCATGTTATCAATGATATTGTGAGAGTGCATTCCATTTTTCCTGTAATATATTTTTATTATATAAAATTAGTAGGGACAAGATATATTTTCTTAATTAGCCTTCTATACAAGGTCTATAGAGCCTTAAGTTATGCGAGAAAACTAATCATAACCAATAATTTTAACGTCTCGAAGACATTCGACATTACGCCGATATATGAGTGTATGCATTTTATTACTACATTAGCTTTCTCATTTTTTTACATATCGTGTTGCTTTTACGTGCACCCAAAAAAATATCCTTACACTATATTCTTATTCAAAGATGTTAAACTTTCCTGGGCGTCTCTACCTTTTCTATCATCTGGCTTCAGATAAAATGGTCTCATATGTGACCTCATATAACTTCGCTCTCATATAACTTCGATCAAACTATCGTATTCCAATTTTCGTGATAGAATGCAAAATTAACTCGAGCTACTTAATAGCATGTGGCAATAAAAGGGCCCTTGGCAGTCAAATGTGACTTTATTTTGGCCAATTTCAGTCTACTTCTCACAGTATTTTTAATTACTATCCCTAGAAAATATTGGAGTTTCATTCTTACCTCAAAAGAAGTTCAGTATAACTAAACACGCTGCTAATGACGAATCCGGTCATATAAGGCCATATAATAGCTTATTTTACATGCCCATTTTTCTTAAATCGGTTATCTTATATAATATTTTAAAGATTTCGTGTGTTTGGCTCTTTTTTCCACATGTTTATTTACGTAGATGGGGGTCGATAACCTAAGAAACAGCTGGTGACTAAGCGGTTAATGAATAACGTCACTGTGACACAAATGATCGATGGCCCTTGACTCTATTTTATACTTCCGGGGTAAAGAGACCCACTGTCGTTAGACAATAAGTCAACGCCTTCAGCTCTAACACTAGGAACAGGCTTAGGGATCCCAGTAATCATACTCGTCGAACCCGGCAAAGAGTACGACGTGCAATCTAAACTAAACATTAGCTCGCTGAGCTTCTTGCCAGATCTTCTCAGTGGGTCGCGATTCCGATCCGGTAGTAGATTCATTCGCGAAGCAGCTACTCTTGAGTTGTTAGGTCCCTTTTGGAGGTGCTCGGGTAGCTGTTAGCAAATGCCACCCCTCCTGGCTGAGCCCGTGCTCGCACACCTGCCCTGGTGATACTGGAAAGACCTCCGGGCCACCAGAATCATTCAATCATAAAAAAAGACTTAACCTAATGTGAATAGAAAACATTAACTCCAAACCCACTACCGTACCAACCAAATTGCACTTTCCAAAATTTTTAATTATTTACACATTTAAACGTTGTAAATACCATTATAAAACAATCTTAAAATATGCATAAAATATTCTTTTCACTTTTTACTTTAGTAAATGACTATTTATACCTAAATATCATTTGGTCTGTGAAAAGTGAGAGCGAGCGGGTAGTGACGAATGAGTGAACGTGATAGAAAGAATAAACTTTATTTTGCTAATTCGTTGCCGCTAAGTGGTCGGCTAACGAAGAGCGTAGCGCCATCTGTGCTCCGTTTAAGTACTATATGGGTGAACCTTGAATATCTTATAGAAGTATCTGTGACAATAGAATAATAATAGTATACAAATTTATAATTTCAATTAATTATAGTCGAATTTCGACTACCAAGGGGATCACTAGTATACTATATGAATTGTTTGTGTCAGTTGTCGGGTCTGGCCCTCGACGCGGACTGCCCGACGGGGATGCACGCGACGTTCGAGCGGCTCCGGCGGCGCGGGTCGCTGCCGCTCGTGCGCGCCGTGCTCGACCTGCGCGCGGCCCGCTGGGGGCTCGCCGACACCTCGCACCAACACGGTAACGCCGACACGACATCCACCTCGAGACATGAGGTCGAACTCAATTGTTTTGTATAACGTACACTGTCCCTTCCAACACTTCAAACCAGAACGCATAATCTCTTCGTTACTTACTTACTTACTTTTTATAACGTGACGTTAGTCCTTTATCGGGTAAGTGGGTCGTGCACACGCCCTATCTATACTAATATATAAATCTACAGTGGTTTGTAAGGATGTTCTGTTATAACTACTAAATCATGCATCCGATTGACTTTAAACTTGGTATCCATGTAGGCTAATATTTATATGAGTGCTGGACTCCCTACACCAGTTGCGGGGCGTTAATGATGAGAATCTTTGTTCGGGTGAGAAATAATTATGTTAATTTTAATGCCCGGCAAAGCGGACGGGTACAGTTAGTAATTAATATGAGTGAAACAGTTGGCGGCATGAACGGCGGGTCGGATTACGTGGAGGGCGGTTTCCTGGCGGACGGTCACTCGCTGACCGCCGAGGAGCGCGCCTTCCTGCAGAGCAACCTGCCGCCGCACAAGCACCAGCCCATAGACGACGATATACTGTACGTATGATACTCATTGCTCTCACTCCTTTATGCTGTATCCAAGGCTAGTGGATCAATGTGGTAAAAAGTAAACAAACAACATTATTTACAATATCACGATTTTTGCACTCAAACACACTATTTAATCATGTGTTAAACCACTTAAGAAACACCTAAGAAAATAAATATATAAAAGATCATTTAATTCAGACCATCTTAAGTTCATATGTTGTAAGTAGAGTAATACGTATAACTATGTTGGTAAATATAAAATTAAAATTAAAATTAGCAAAATTATTAAAACATTTAAACATTTAATTCATAAACCTGTATCTAAAGTACATATTAATGCTGAAATTGTTTTAAACTAATCATTTAAACACAATAGGTATATAAATAAATTCCTAAAAATTGAGGCCACAGACTAAACAACGACATGGCAATTTGACATTTCGTAAATCTATCGCCTTTATGAAACATAAAGATGCACCTTTGGTGAATGAATCATTCTAGAAAATAAAACAAATGATCTTTTCATGACAAGTTTTAACTAGTGTATGCTATAAAACCTTTTTACTGTGTTTTTGGAAGTGTTATAAAACGTTTCTATTACAAAGGTTAGTATAGGCAATGCCACACCATAAAAACGCTTAGTAAATGAAATATTGAAATGTACTATGTGTGAATGTATTCAACTTTTTAAACATAAACTAAATAATATTACAAACAACCAAAAGCTCATATCATTATTTTTATAATAATTTTATGGGAACTAGTTCATTATCTTACATTCACGAGCTATCCTAGCCATTCATTTGGTCATACTATGTCCAACACTATACATTGTCTTTGGTTACTCGTCGGCCATTGTTTTTTATTACATTAATCTAAGATTGGACAACGTATTATTATCTTGTTTTGTTCAGTTGTTGTCTTTAACAAATCGCTTTGAGCGAAAATCAAAATAACCTATTCTGAATTTATATTATTACTATTATGTTTAAATTGTTTAACAATAACGTGTATTATGTATAGAAATAAGCATCAATGTAAAGGAATCTTGAAATATTTTTATTTTCATATCATGTATCAAATCGCCTAAAAAATTTAATTTCACAGGGAGGAGCTTGAGAACGACTCGTGGGAGACTGGAATGGATCCTGAAATGCAGGAGAGCTTCCTCGAGTTTCTCAAGATATCGAATCAGATAAAGCGATAACCGCCCCGGACGACGGAACCCTCACAACGCGGGAGACAGACCAATCTTACTTTACGATTAGACAATGGTCGAAATATTATAATAAAATCTAAAAAAAAAATTAATAAAAACTTTTAAAAATCCTAAAAAGTCAAAGGAGTCAGGAAGTTGAGGTTGTCATAGCATTGCATGCCCGTTGCCCAGTCTCTTAAATTAAACTACTACTTAAATTAAAAACGAAACGAACGCCATCTATGATCGAATAAAGACATGTACTCACGCTTTGCGCTCGTCACGTGTAGCTTTCACAATACAACATAAACATTTAGGTGCTCCAATAGTTACTAAGAAATAGTTTAATAAAAGCTTATTCATATTAATTACGCTTTTTTATTACGATCAACATAGTGTAGCGTAGGTTACTTGTCAGTAAAGATTTTATTGTCCTTATTTTTGTGTTAGATTGTTAGAAAACGCGTTTTGGTCTGTCTTCGAACCCGCATAGTGTTTACGTATAACTAATGTATAATGTTCAAGATTTTTATATTTTGATCATTTGACGGAAATAATGTAAGCTGAGAAATGTTAGAGAGATATTTTTTTAAAAGAGATTTATACGTAAACACGTCCGTATGCGATTGTAAAGACTAAATGTAAACAAGCGCTTAGTATTTACGAAATTACCTCGAAAAAAACCTATTGTAAAATTGTTGATTCAATCTCTTACTAGTGGACAAAGATACTTATTACAACAATTCAAACTCAACTGTGCTTTTGGTTAAAACGTACTCTTGTATCACTTCCTCGTTATGTGAAATTAATAAAAAAAAGACTTTCAATAGTACATTGTGCACCAAGGGAGAAAAGTTGGACATTTCCTCCCGCGTGTTTGCATTTTACATGAGATGTTCTACTTTACTCCCGCGGTGCACATACTATTTTTTCTCCTACCAGGCCGAAAGTTCGTGGAGTACCGAGCCGGGGTACAGGGGCGGAGCCCCCCATACTCATAAGAAAACAATGTTAACTTTTTTTTATAAACTACCACAAATTGAATAAGAACTGTCTGATGAAGTCATTTTTGTTTAATACTTCACTATTAAATTTTATTGCCTTTTGTTTATTTCACTTTTACACTAAACACAATATTGAAAATTACCCAAGCACAACAATGGCGGAGAATTTTAGGTGCGTGAGAGCGGACGTAGACACTAACGCGCATGCGCACTTGTCAGTACCCAGGGAGGAAAAGTTACACTTTCTTCCCACAGCGGGAGGAAAAGTAAGACTTTCTTCCCTGTACAGTGGGAGGAAAAGTTAGACTTTCTTCCCTATACAGCAGGAGGAAAACCGAACTTTTGGCGTAGGTAGGAGAAAAAAATAAATGCAATAACTTTTGTAATACGTATAAGTCCTATTATTTTTTTTAATTCCCACCTTTGTGAAGGCCATATTTTATAAATGTCTTGTTTACATTTCGTCTCTCGAGTTAATTTAGTGATCTCTAAGTTTTCTTCTATATGCATGTTAATGACAAAAAAGCATTTTCACGAATACTGTCAACAATAAATAATCGTAGTTGACGTGTCGAATGGGTGCGGTTACAATGCAATGGTCCGTTCCTTAAGAGAGACCCGAGTAATATTTAGTTTTGTATTTTCCATTAGTTGAAAGGCTGATGAATTTTAATGGTTTTATTGAATTTAATTATTGACTTTTATTGAAAACGTTTCAGGATACTAATTAATGTGTTTTATATTTTATCAATTTGTCCCTCGATTTAATTGTCTCGGCACAAATCTATTCTCGTGTCTTATTTTAGTTTCATTAAACTTGAAACTGACTAATATATGTTGGATTGGATTCGATAAAACGTATTCGCCTTAAGCGAACGGAATGATCGTTGCCTTGTGTGAGATGTATTTTTGTGGATGACCTAATTGCTAGTTAATTTGAAATGATATAGTTTTAAACTAAACATTCAATGAATTGTTATGATGTTAGGTGAATTTTACAGTGAAACGGGAAAGCATAATAGTAAATTAATGAATTTATTTATTAAAAAAAAGCAATTAGGAGAAATGTTTGTAATATTCCATTGTATTTTTGTTGCAGTGATATTATGAATGTTATAAGATTAAATGGATATTTTAATAAAAGTCATTTCAAACTAATTGTTTTATTCAACCTAGGATGTTTTTTTTTTCAAAAGCAATTATGATTAATATATTCTTATTCATGTTGTTTCTAAGACTTTTTATTAGAATCAATTATGTATTGCTTGGAGATATAATTTAAATAGTATAGAAATTCATTAACACCTAGCATATCTCAATCACGAATGTTCAAACTTAATTGAATATGCAATTTCGAAAAGGGCATATGTCGCATATTTTGTCAAATACGTTTTTTCATATACATGTAGTTTTGAGGCTTACCTACACCCATTTTATAATAATTCCAGTAATTTTCAATTGCTAATTAACACTAAAATATATCTCAAAAGTTCCACCCTGCCTATTTCTGCCGTGAAGCAGTAATGCGTTTCGGTTTGAAGGTGGGGCAGCCGTTGTAACTATACTTGAGACCTTAGAACTTATATCTCAAGGTGGGTGGCGCATTTACGTTGTGGATGTCTATGGGCTCCAGTAACCACTTAACACCAGGTGGGCTGTGAGCTCGTCCACCCATCTAAGCAATAAATAAATAAAAGTTAATATTTTAAATTTTACACTGCTTTAGAAAATAATCAGTTTTTTTTTCATTTCCTGAACATTTTACATTTTCAGAGATGTGCCCTTTTCGAAATTGTATATTCAATTTGTTATATAGAAAAAGGGAGAGGTATATTTTTTATTTTTCTTAAACATGGATATAAAGAACATATAAGTCACAACCGCCAGTCATGAGGGATCGATGGCGATGACGATATTTTACGCATACGGTCTTTCCGATGGTGAGTGGTTATGATGATCTTAGACGTCACTAATTCGGAGAAGAACTTGTCAAAGCCCTCTGGAAGCAACGTCGAGGGATCTCATTCCCGAGTTGGATAGTGCAAAGTCTGGATGAACTCGTCTCCGGCGGCGAGTGATGCGATAGTATAATAAAGCTGATTTTTTTAGTTGGATAATTTAACGCAACTAATTACAGAATGGAAAGCGGTCGACGTCGCCCCAAACACGTCATTTCGGACCCTCCCGATCCACTAACGGAGCTTTTATCTACCTCAAGCACCGTTCATCGTTCTCGTCGAACCCGTCGCTTGTCACGATGGGCTCGACGAGTAAATTAACCCTCAGACACAGCCCACTGAGTTTCTCGCCGGATCTTCTCAGTGGGTCGCGTTTCCGATTCGGTGGTAGATTCTACGAAGCACGGCTTTTGCTAGGGTTCGTGTTCGCAACGTCGTCAGGTTTGAGCCCCGTGAGCTCACCTACTAGTTAACGTTACGCTGAAATAGCCTCTCAAGGCTCTCAGCTGGGTAGGAAAAGAAAAAAAAGAAAAAAAAAGAAATATTTTTAAAACAAATACGTATGTATATATTTACACAAATAAATAAGGATTGCATTCAGTTATTTCTCAGGTAGAACTTTATATGGGTTCAATATTCCCTTCGGGTCCATAAGCGTCTTCAGTTCCCTCATGAGATCAAGGGCAGATTCAATTTTACTGTAATGAATGTACTGTGGCTTGCGAAAACCGACGCCGTGCTCTGCGCTAATCGACCCGTTCAATTTGCTCACTTCTTCAAACACGTAAGGTTCTATTTGAGAGCCTATTTCTTTCGTATATTCCGGTACTACGATGTTTATATGAATATTGCTATCCCCTGAAACAGAGTACACTTTAATTAAAATTACTTTCACGGTTAATCTCGGGTTTTTTATTGTCATTGTATTATTTCCGACTTTTCGAATACTTTTTAGACAATAGTTGCTCGGTGAAGTGTAATTCCCAAAGTATTAATTAATAGGTATCTCTGGAATTGGATAATAGGAATTTGACAATAGAGTTTGACAATAGACAATAGATGTTTTTAAATCCACATCAATAGAAATTTTGTACACAAATAACCTTATTGAGTCGTCTATTATCAAAGGTGGCAATCTGAGCATTTGGACAAAAAAATTTTATTGATATGTCAATACAGATTGATTTGAATATAATCGTCTCCTTCAAAGAATACGGTTCAAAACCTGCATTAAATAAAGGTTAATAGTTAACCTGTTATTTATCTAAGATGTCGTTCAGAAGAGTTTTGTGACTGCCAATGGAATACAAAGTCAATAATTCGTTTTTCGGATTTACCAATAATTGTCCAAAAGTCACATTGCCGGCTTTGATAATAGTCAACTCTATTTATGTTTTTAAACTTTGTTTGTACATTTAGATATAACAGCGTAATTAGGGTTAAGCATGAGATGAAGTAGGCGAAAGTTATTAAATCCAAATACAAGATATCTGACATAGACCTCTGACCTCTGAATCTGTTGTGCTAACAACCGACCCCATCAAATGAACGAACCGATAAAAATGATGTACAATGTGGATATCGGAGTTGTTTTTTGCTACATTACACAACGTTATCCATATAAAGCGACTATACCCATCGATAAATCTGTGGCCATATAAAAATCAGATATTACTCCGTAGCGGGCGGGAAAGGCGGATGCATCCATCCGCCTTGGATGGGACGCCTAGGAAGCATGAATTATTGTTGAATGGTTTTTTAACCCATTTGGGACTAATTCATAATGATAAACACAAATCATAAAACCAAAAACGGATGAAGTACGAACGGATGAAACGAATCGCTAAAATAAGGAACAGAAAAAGCCACACCGTATGTCGCATTGCAATGGATGAGATATAGCCCAAGGAGGGTTGACATCGGGTAATCGGCCGGTCGTAAAATTCATACCAAATCCCTAAGCAGTTATAATAAGAGGAGATGCTGCACGGATCCCACTTTGTGGGGTAAAGGCAGAAAGAGGAAGAACATTTATGCCGACTAGCTCTCGGCCCACTTGGGTTAAGTTGTTACATAGTTACCGGCACTCGTACATCATAACATAAATCCCGCCAATCATCTTCATTCATTCATTAAATATATGTATGTGTATAATAAAAATCTTACATTTATTTCCGTTATCTGGTACCTGTAACACAAGTTCTTTACGAACTTATCACGGGACCAGTTAACGTGGCGTGATTGTTAGTATGTAAAAAAATAAATAAATCTTCGAGTGAGTGACGGACTCATCTTCGAACACGTGTTCAAAGTTCTTTTGTGTACATATTGTATCACTATATTGTCTAAAAGAATTTATTCAGTGTGAGCTGCCATGCCGTTACAAGAGCAGAAATACGATCTATA